GAGGGAAGTTGAAACAGAAGGTTTCAGCTAAGAGGGGTGTTTAACATAAATGATAGAAAACAGAGTGGGATGCAGTACATTTTACGCATAATACAGGTGCTTTAAAATACCTACTGCCAGCTAGTTATGAGATCCCTGTTATTTTAATTGTCATTTAACACTGTACTAATAGGGTGAAATTCACCTTTCCCTGCATGAAGGAGGGAAGTTGAAACAGAAGGTTTCAGCTAAGAGGGGTGTTTAACATAAATGATAGAAAACAGAGTGGGATGCAGTACATTTTACGCATAATACAGGTGCTTTAAAATACCTACTGCCAGCTAGTTATGAGATCCCTGTTATTTTAATTGTCATTTAACACTGTACTAATAGGGTGAAATTCACCTTTCCCTGCATGAAGGGTGAGTAAATTATTATTACTCCTCCTGTAATGCCTCGACACTCACAACAGAATGAGGGCTCTGCTGTTGTAGACATTGTACAAACGCAGTGTAAGAGAATCTCTGAGTTTACAATCTAATTTAAATCAGGACCCAACAAATGGGCCTACGCAACAGTGGGAGTGTATAGGGGAGGGTGGAGGAGGGCAACAGTGATAGGAAATATGCTTATACAGACTGTGTACAAAATTAGCAGATTTCTAGCCCAATTATTTTGGCTTTTTCAACATATAAATAGCAAGAGAATGTAAATGATCTCAGCCTTGCCTGCTGGCTTCCTGCCTAGTCATTATCAGTTGGCAGCATATCATAAGCATTATGGCAGAAGTGAGTCTTTAGGAGGAATGTAAGGGCCTTCTCATGCATAGGAAGCAGTAAAGAAGGACGCACAAACTTACCAGTGGGAGGAACAGACATGCAGGTAATGGAAGCTGCCATGACTGGCAGAGTAGGAGGTGACAGGGCATGATGGCTACATCAATCAATAATGGAGTGGCCGAATTGCGGTGATTGCTCTGTTCACAGCCTCTGCCACATTATCATATCCCAGAAGATCCCACTTGGGGGTAGCTAATGAATTTTACCCTCCAAAAAATTTTATATGCAGCATGTCTTATTATTTCTATAAGGGGAATCACCACTCAATAATAATCTGAAAATGCAATCTCATTTAAATGTTTGTCACACGGTGCATTTTGCCTGCAGTAATCCCAGTATCAGAATTAGAAAAATCTTGAAGGCCTGTGATCATTTTATTAACTAATTCTGGCAAGCTGGCCCATGCAGAAATGTAAAATGCAGTTTCTGGGAAGCAATAATGATAATTAACAACAGTGAGCACTCATATAAGGCTTTTCCTCTGCAATGTTTGCCCAGCACCTTGAAGTCAGTTTTCTTTGCAATAGAGCATTCAGAACAAGAAACTAGATGATACTTATTTCAACTTCTGCCTGCTAAAAGGATACTTGCCTCTAAGTGCCAATCTGGGCAGGTCTTCAAACACAAAATAGCAGTCTAAAATCTTTTCTAAGGGAATTTTTAGAAAGGGGATAAAATGATTAAAAAGTAAAAAAAGACTCCTGGTGCACTAAAAAGCAACAAGTAATACTGCAACCTTCCTTAAAAGGGAAACATTGTGAGTCCTTGTTGAACAGAATATAAGGTTTTCGTTGAGCTGGGGGATATTTTCCACAAATTTAAATGTCCCTCAGATCTCATTCTGATTAAACACAGTTCTTTACTAATCAAAGTTCATATAAAGCGTGCCTTCATCTTAGCTTGCTAGATAAGAAAACGGTTTTGTTTTTTTCAAGGAAGAGTCCTCTGCTATTTAATGGCCCCATTCTGTCCCTTCACTCCACAGTTAGGCAGTTTCTTACCCTTCATTTTCAATGCATTTTCAACCTGCAGAGTGGAGGCTTGCCTATGGTGTGAGTTAGTGTGCAACAAGCTAGAGTATTAATCTACGGCGCATTGGTTTGCTAGATCCTAACGGCTCCAGCACACTAAAAGATCCCTGTGGGGCTTGGGCACATTCCTATTTCAAGCTTCTTTCAAACTATTTCATACAAGAATACGGCTAAGCCCACTGCAGAACATTTAGTGCGCTGTAGAAGGATCCCCAGGGGCAGTACACATGCAGCAGGCTAGTGTGCCGTAGAATCCCACCCTGGCTTGCAGAGCACTGACTCACTGGGCAGACGAGCTTGAAGATAATACTCACTGTGAGCCAAGGTGGCTGCTTCCAGCCTTAAATCCTTTCTTCTACAGTCCTAATCAAATGCTGCTTCCTTGATCACACCATGAGATAAAGGAAATATTACCTCAAACCCCGTTACACTGTCCCCCAGAGTCTCTACGATCCCGGAGCACTCAAACCCAGGAACAAGCGGCGTCTTGGGAGGATTGTCGATATTCCCCTGCCGCACCATCAGATCAATGAAGTTTAAACCACTAGAAACACAAGAAAAAACAAAATTAGAATACCAGCATGGGTGTGGGAGAAAGAGAAACCTAGCCAGACAATGAAAGATGCCAAAGGCTTCCGGGGTTTTTTAAATGCTTCATTGTTCTACTGCACATGGATGGGCAGGTGTGCAGAAGGAATTCACATCTCTCATGGAACAATCTGGCTCTACTTCAACTCTGCATGGGCCATCCTGAAGGTAGGGGTAAACCCACAGGGCTACTGGATCAGGGCTACCCAGAACCCCTATGGTTAGAGGTGGTACTAGAGTCATAAATGCTGTTTCAGACCAGAGATTACCACCACCTGGATCAGAGTCAGACCAATGAACCAAAGATGAAAGGCTTTTTATTATTAATCCTGAGATCTCATGGCCCTCTACAAGACATTTTTAATTACAGGTTGAACCTCTCTAATCCCACATCTTGGGGACCTGACCAGTGCCAAACCACAGGTAGTCAATATAGTCTAGCAGCATTACTTCTACTGCTTACTGGGTTCTTATGAGATATATAGGGGTAAATCAGAGCTAAACAACAGCACAGAACACAGAGCCAAGACTAGTGGCTAAAGGACTGCAGGAAATGTGGCCAGACCCATGGTAAGTGGACATCCAGCTAACTAAAATCATGCTGGACCACAGATGATGCTGGACTAGAGAGTGCTTAACTAGAGAGGTTCAACCTGTATTGTGAAATATGCACCCATCTTTCAATATTAAAATATGGAGATCAGTAAAAAAAAGCAGACTACTACCGCAAGTAGGGATGGTTAACTATTAAATGTATACAGAGCACATGCAAGGTTGGCATGGTTAAGTCTCTGCATTACTGTTAAGTATCAGAGGGGTAGCCATGTTAGTCTGGATCTGCAAAAGCAACAAGGAGTCCTGTGGCACCTTATAGATTAACAGATGTATTGGAGCATAAACTTTCATGGGCAAAGACTCACTTCATCAGATACATTACTGTTGTACATCTATGTATGGGACAAGGGACATGTCTACCTGAACATTTACTGTTGGACATGCTGGAATCTAGCTCTATAGCTCCAACATGACACACCTTAACTGTCCATGCATATCCTGCTAATGAGTATTAAAAATTCGCTAGAATGCATCGATGAACTGCAGTTTATTTCAGAGAATTAACAAAGTAGTGATTGGAGATATTCTTTAAGGACTTCAAATAGTGAAGAGGTATTGGCTAGAAGTCTGTATGTAATCCATTGATATACACTATAGATATTTTGGGCCAAATGCAACTTCGGTGTAACTGCACAGAAATTGCTAGAGTTACACAAGAGAAGAATCTACTATTATCTCAGCAAGGAACAGACTAATTCGTGAGCATTTACTATGCATCCAATACATTATCATGAATAGCCTATTATATATGATCTTGTACCTGATCATTTTTAAAGTCTTTGCAAAAGATTGCTTTAGGTCTTTGAAGTTTTATGTGGGTGGCTGCTCAGAAGAATCACTGCTAAGCTTTCTTTATATGCTCAATTTTGTGAAAATCATGAGGCCTCCTTACCTTGCCTTTGTATCTCACCTCATTTTATTAAAATAAAACATGCGGCACATTTTTAGATACCATGGAGGGAAAAGTATTTGTTTACCCAGTGCCCCATTACACAGATTCCAGGCACATCAGACACCACATACATACACACTTTTGAAGACTCCTTACATTCATAACTAGCTGGGATATACTACAGCCCCTCTTTATTGTTTCAGAGCACAGCTCCATAATTACTGTCAGCTAGAGAGATGTATACTAAAGCCCTGTATTCTGCAAAGTTATGCACATGAGTCATCTCACATACGCAAGTAGAACCACTGATTGCTCACACACAAAGTCACTCATGCGTAAGTGTTTCCAAGATCATGGCTTTCATCTGGATACTAATAGAAACATGGACAGACCTGATAAACATGAAACAGGATGGAGAGAAAGTGACACCATGAGAACAAGACACTTCTAGATTGTCAGGGCCAATTCCATCTCATTTAAAATTGCAGGCATTTGTAGGTAAAATGTTAAAAGGGATCCCAACCCATCCTTGATTTGTGCAGAATTGATATGAGCATCCCATGACTGACATTGCAATGTGCAGTTTTTTATTCCACCAGTGCTCATATCCTCTCTTGGACTTCTACGAGAAGCAGGCCGATCAACAGGGAGAACCGAAGGGGAAACTGCCCAGGGGCCCAGCTATGCAAAAGGGTTCGATGGCAGTACCTGAGGGCCCAGGCTATTGAATTGCCACAGGAGCACTGTGCAGTTCTAAGGGCTGTGGGCGTAGGCAGGGTGATGCACTCCAGGCAATGCTGAGGGCTGGCTGTTCTGGCCTCTTCCAGCTAAGAACTCGCCCTCATCAGGAGCATGGAACCACTCCCACCACCATACTTAAGGGGAAATGGAGTCCTCCCATACCCATAGCCCCTACCTACACACCCGGGCCATCAGTCCTCCCTCAAGACACAATGGAAACATAAAAAGACTAGTGCACAGTGGCTGGACTAAACTTATAGTGTGAATGATTAGGAGAAACACAGCATATTGCAGGCTAAAGGCTTAGAAGTGATTGTGGAAAGGCTGTGTCTTACCAGAAAGCTATCAAAGCAATTCACCTTCTGTAATGGTATGTATACAGTAAGAAAATGGACAATGATAAAGAACTTTGGGGACTAATTATAAGAAAATGAATGACCCACACAGTGATCACCATTTGAAAATATCGAACCACATTGTTCACAAATGTTGACTTCACTGGTGACCATTGTCTAGATCGGGGTGGCCAGCCAGTTAGAGATGAAGAGCCAAAATAGCTGCAAAGAGCCACGTATTATATATCAATAGATAGATTACACAAAATGTAGCAATAAAAACAACATTACAGGACATTTTGGACAAAAAACAAAACAAAAAAAACCAATAAAAGTCTCAATAAACCAATGAAAAAAAGGTCTCTAGTCACTTAAATTAATGGCCATTCCATAGATCTTCAGAGAACTTGACAAGGAACAAACATCAAAATTAAAAGGGAAAAAAAAACACCTTTAAAAATACAGTGATCTCACACTAAAAAAAAAAACCCCATCCCCAGCATGTATTTTAAATTTAAACACTACTGCCCTATTATGTCCTGTGAGTTTTTAAAAATTAAACTGAACTGAGAAGTAAATTAGCACAATTTGAAGTGCCTGTTTCACTCCAATTTGTTGATTTCTGATATGGTTTCCTCATTTTATTTTTAATCATATGAAGACTATGGCTTTTTTTTTTTTTTTTTTTGAAGTTTTGTGTTTTTTTTTTTTTTTTTTTTTTGAAAACAGTTCCACAAATTCAGATCTGTCCTTAACTGCAAATATGAAAGGTTCAAAAACAATAAAGGAGAGACTCATATCTCAGAATTGCTTCAGCCTGGCAAACAATAGCTTTGGATTTTCTTTAAAGAAACACAGTGTAAACCAGGTACATGGTGATTTTTTTTTTTTTTTGGCACCCTGGAATTTAAATATGACATCTGTGTTGGTTGCCTTATTCTGCATCCATGAAGACTTTGAGTTTAAGGTGCTTTAGCCCCTCCTCCCCTCTTGCTTTAACCCAATCCCTCTTCTCTCCCCCAGAGCCAGGCACCCCCAGACCTCCTCCGCTCTAACCCAATGCCTGGGTCTCACCATAGCCGCCACCACACGCTTCTCTCTGCAGGCACTGGGGAGCATGAAAAGAGAGGCCTGCTGTAAGCAGTCTGGGTGCGCGGCTCAGAACTAGTAAGAGTCACATATCTCGGAGAAAAAAGCTGTATGCAGCTTGAGAGCCATGCGCTGGCCACCCCAGTCTAGATTCCCCTCTTCCCCATTTGAGTGCTTTACAGAAATTATCTAAATAAACCTTCGTAGGTTCTTCTCCCACTGCATAACTAAGGATGGAGATGTAAAAGCAAGCATAGGAATTAGGTTATGACATTAGAGCAGGTAGGGAGCACACAGACAGCAGTTCTATGACTGTGAGAAAAACAAATGGTATTACGTATATACCACACACACCTCAAGTCGTCAGCACTTATGCATCTACTCTCTCTCATGGAATTACTTGGCAGACTTGGTTTTTGAAAGGGCATGTTTTCAATTATGAACCTGACCACATAACTCTAACAAACCACTTCTTTACTTCTTGTCTTTATCCACAGGAAACTGTAGCAGTAGTAAGACAAAAATGCATCTCTATTAATATAAATTTTTTACTAGAAGATGATAGATAAGGAACACGAAGGTGCAGAATTGAACAAAAAAGGCTATCATAGTTAGCTCAAAATTAATGCAAAACAAATTAGATTAAAATAGTTGTGATTTACCATTTAAAAATACAATTAACACAGCCATTTTAGAGTCCCAACTTAAATTTATTATTAGTACTTCTATTTTCCTATATCTTCAAATATGCTTAAAATTAATACACAGAATACAAAGTGCATGGTGCTCACTTTATATTATTTTTTATTACAAGTATTTGCACTGTAAAAGATAAACAAAATCAATAGCACGAGGTGAGTTGAAAAATACAAGCACTATAGTGGATAGCTCCCCTCTAAGCTGCATGGCCATGCAGCTGTGTAGCTTCCCATTAAGCCCCATGCAGTAGCTGTTAAGCCAGTGGTCCCCAACCAGTAGATCGGGATCTATTGGTGGATCTTGGAGCCTCTGACAGGTGATCCTGACTGGTTTGGCTGCTCATCTCCTGCCCTTTGCCTTGGAGCTGCCCCTCCCTCTGGGGAGCCTCCTATTTTCTGGGCAGGGCAGTGGAGGGACAGATGTCAAGGTGCCCCCTCTCCCACTCTGTATCCTTTCTCCACAGAGCAGAGAGGGGCACAACAGGACTTGGGATGGAGGGAGTTTGCTGGCTGCTTTAGGGAGTGGTCCAGGGCCAGGGCAGGGGTGAGCCTGACTTAGCCCCACTACCCAGGAGCCACCTGAGGT